AATCTTTGGTGAATGAATGAAAGAATGAATGAATGAGCCCAGGGAACAGATAATGGAGTCCATCTCTCCAGGGTGCATTTCCCGGAGAGTCTGAGGGTAAAATCCGTGAAAACAAAGCTTCTCCTGTACTGCCCTAGGTTCTAAGAGAAGCCTGCCACCTGCCAGTCCTGAGACAAGGCGGGGCGCGGAGGTGGGAATGGGGCGAGTGGGTGTGCCCACGCCTGGCTGCAGGGTAAGGCTCCTCCGACAGCGCCCCCCAGTGTCCTAGGAGAGGCAGCGGCCAAGATCGCTCAAACCATTTCTTTCCTCCTTCCGCGTTCAACCCATCGGCTTGTCGGGCATCCTGTTTCTTCCGTATCCTCCTCGCGCACCTGCGCTTGATTTTGCACCTGTGACCTCACTTGGGCCACTGCAGCAGTCTCATAACCAATGCCCCTGCTGTGTACCCCTGCGTCTCTCACATCCACCCTTCCAGTGGTCGGAGAGATGTTTTAAAACACAACACTTAAAATTGTCAGGAATGTGGCTTTCTTTCCATGTGCTTAGACAGCTATGCTTCTAAAAACTTGAACACACAAGTCAAATGGGGATCTTGCTAAAATCCAGGCTGTGATTCAGCTGCTCTGGGGTGGGGCTGGAGACCTTGCATTTCTAACAAGCTCCCAGGCGATGCAGGAATCTTGGACCACATTAGGAGTAACAAAGACTTAGAGAAGAATCCAAACTTCCTGCCCAAGTCCTACTTTATTGGACCCCTTCCCAGCAGTCCCCCCGTCCTCTCCAACCCCTGTTCTTTTCTGCTTGTGCTGTAGCCACACTGGTTCATTCTGTTCCCGGAGTGTGCCAAGTTGTTCCTGCCTCAGGCCATTTGCACGTGATGTTCCCATTGCCTAGAATGCCCCCTTCCCGGAGTTCCACATGCCTTGCTCCTCCTTGGATCTTAATTTGAAAGGAGTCAGAGAGTGCTTCTCTGACCACTTCAGCTAATGAAGCACCGCAGATCCTGGGGACTTGCTATCAGCTATTAGCTTTCCCCCTTCAAACCACTTATCCTTCCCTGATTTTATTCTGGTAATATATTTGCTGACTTGTTAACTTTCTGTCTGCACTCTCAGGTTTGTTGCACGGGAATAAGGACTTGGTTTCCTTCACTTGTCCTATCCCAGAGCCTGGCACATGGCAGCTGCCCTTTTCGTGCCTGCTGGGTCTAAGCATGAACTTGCCCATGCGGCTGCGTGGTGTTGAGATGCACGCAGGGTTTTGCAAGCTTCAAAGACTTAGTGTGCCCATAACGCAGGTGCCTGAGGCAGAGGGGAGGGGGAAAGGAAGGGGAGAACTCTCTGTACTGAGGATGCCACAGAGAAAGTCTCAAGAGCCTGGAGATGAAGTTGAGCCTAAGAATCACCACGTAATGGATGAATTCATCAAACCAGGAGAGACTCACTCGGGAGGGTGGGAAAGGAGAGTAACTAACATTAGTTAAGTGAGTTAACTAAGGCGCTTGGAACAGTGCTGCCCACAGTAAGCATTTAACCAATAAATAAAAATAAATATGTAGGACCCTTCCTCTGTGACCCTCGCTTTGCAGATCTCTCTCTGTCCATCCTCACAACACGTGACCTCCATCTTGCAAATGAGGAGAAAGACTCTCTGAGATTAGAGAGGGCTTGCCTGGGGTCAGCCAGCCATTCCGAGCCAGAACTGAGAACCCCGCTCCCTGAAACAGCTCCAGGGAAGGTCGTACACGCCACACTCCCTGTCCCTCTCCGTGCTCTCTGCTGCAACCCTGCACCTGTTACCACCCGCCATACTGGGCATTCATCCCACTTCTTTCTTCTTGTCTGTTTTCTCACGCCAGAATACAAATTCCCTGAGGGTAAGGATTTTTGTTTTGTTCGCTACCGTTTCCCTGAGCCTAGAATAGGGCCGGCCACCTAAGTAAACACTTGAGGAGTACTTACTGAATGTTAAGGGGATGAATGGAGGCATTATTTGTAAAGCCTAGCTTTCTGCATCTCTAAGAGTCCGTTCTGTAAAGGTGTGGCTGAGGGGACACCCGAACCTTCCCGAGAAGGGCGTCAGTGCCTCCGAGATGGAGTGGGTAGGTAAGCAGTGCCTGACTGACTGCTTCCAACAGATCAGAAGGAAGACCATGTCCACAGAAGAGGGCCCGGCTGCGCGGATCCTGGCGAGACAGCAGCCAGGGAGCTGGGGTTTGTCCAGTCTCCAGCCCCAACACCACTGCCAGGCAGGCGGTTACTCTCCTCAGGATCTGGCTTCCTACCCAAAGTGGCCCTGGGGGGAAAATGTGTCAACCAGGCCCCAGTGGCAATTACAGCTCGATGTAAATGCATCAATAGGCACTTACAGGAAACCTCCTGTGAATTGAGTTAGAGTGAGTCAGTCACTCAAGCCCGGCAGCTCTGGCTGCTGAACAAACAGAGATTCTCGACCAGCCCAGCTGGGACACACTATGGACGGTCCCTGGAGATAGTTCTCTGGGCCCACTGACCTTCCTCTACACCAACGCTTTCAAAGTTCAGGACCCCAGACCCACGGCAGCCACAGCAACAGCACCCGAGGACTTGTTAGAAATGCAAATTCTCCAGCCCTAGAAAGGCAAATTCTCCAGCCCCATCCTTAAAACACGGAATCAGAAACCTTAAGGGTGGGGCGTCTGGGTGGCTCAGTCATTAAGTGTCTGCTTCGGCTCAGGTCAGGATCCCAGAGTGCTGGGATCGAGCCCTGCATCGGGGTCCCTGCTCCACAAGAAGCCTGCTTCTCCCTCTCCCACTCCCCCTGCTTGTGTTCCCTCTCTCGCTGTCTCTCTCTGTCTCTGTCAAATAAATAAGTAAAATCTTGAAAAGAAAAGAAAAGAAAAGAAAAGAAAAGAAAAAAAAAAAGAAAAGAAAAGAAACCCTAAGGGTGGGGTCCATCACTGCCTATTGCCAAGCTCCTGGGAGATTCTGATTCACACTCAGGTGGAGAACAACAGGTGCACAGTTCCCTTTCAGGGAAGTTAACTACTCTTCTGTAAGGGCCGTGGGCTGGGCTAAGGTAACAGTCAGGTGTGGGGGGCTTCCTAGATACAAAACAGGGAGTCCTGTTTTAAATTAAGTGAGGAGTGGGAAGGGGCAAGAGTTAGGGAGGAAGCCTCCTGTGTTTCAGAAAATTGTCAGAGGAGGGGTTCGTTTGCAAAAGCACATTTTAAAGTTATCATAGTTTTGTATTTTAGTTTTGAAATTTCAAATGACACTACAGGGAGGTTTAATATAAACTGCCACCCAGTACTATGTGTAGAGTTCAGGCAGGAATACAACGCTGGGAACCTACCTCCTGTACAGTTCTCATTCTTCAAAAAAAGAAGGGGAGAGACAGACAGGACAGACAGGGAGAGAAAGGGCCCAGGCCTGGGCTGGCCTGAAAGATAGGAGAAACTCAGCACAGGATGTGCCTGAAGAATTCACGAAATGGGTTGCACAACTTCATGGAGCTCCTGCTGTGGGCCATGCGCTGTTTTTGGCTCTGGGAAGAGGATTCAAAGATAAATTAGCCAGCAGCTTCTGCAGCCAAGGCACTTAACAAGAGAAAATTCAGAGATACTCCTTCTGGATAGCAGATGTTGGAAGTACGGAATTGTGCGCTTTTGATTCGAGTCTTGGCTTTTCAGTTTAGCCGAGTAAGAGGGCACACCTGAACCCGGCAGGAGATGGGGGGTGGAGGGGAGAGTGCGGGGATGGGTTGCAGCTTGAATGCTGAGCTAGAAGGCATAGACAGGCGGGCACACACAGGTTAGTAGGGGTACTGTGCCCGTGTCCACAGCGCGGGTCTGGGGCCGTGGTTAGGAGATCTGAGGTTGGCTTGTAGCAACTACTAGCATTTATCCAGTGACAAATGTGTCAGTAATCAATTTAGGTCCATACATTAACTCATTCTTTATGTGAACCCTAGGTACTATTATCACCCCATTTTCACTGATGCAGAAACTCAGACACTCAGAGGTGAGCTCACTTTGCCCAAGTCACACTGCTAGGTAGAGTGTGAATTTGAGCCCAGGCTGTGTGCTCGGGAGCACTCCAAGCCCATGACAAATCAATGTGCCACCCCAGGCGTCTGGTCTCGCCTGCTGGGTTGGGGTGGCGGAGGGATGGGATACTTATTTCGGTGGGTAAGTAAGTTCCTGAAGAAGCCCTGACGTCTTTCTCCAGGCCTGAGAATTCCCTTTGGCGTAGACAATCAAGAGTCCAATGCTCTGCGAACCGGCTGGAGGACAAGTACTTTAGGCCCCTTCCCACTAGATGGCGGCCCCTAAACCCACATAGAAATTCTGGAACCTCCACTGTCCCCATCTTCCAAGGGTTCAGCTGCGGCTGCAGAATTGCAGGAAGCGGACCCTCCGGGCCCCTGCCCCGCCCCATCCGGGGGTCGTGGGAAGCCCCCAGGCTGAAGGCGGGAGTACCGTGTGTGGGGGGGGATCGGTGTGGGGGGGCCGGTTGGGGGGGGTGGGTAGGGCGGGGGAGACGAGGCTCCCCGGGCTCTGGGCATCCGGGGGAGGAGCTGGCGCGTAGCAGCCACTCCCGGGGCGCAGGGGCGGGGCGGTGTCGCACAGCCCGAGCCCGCCGCCGAGTGGGGAAGCTCTGGGCCGCGGGGCGCGGGGCTCAGGGCACCGGGCGCGGATCCGGGCTCCGAGGGCGCGGGCCGGGCGGCAGGTGCGCGGCGCGGACTACAAGTCCCAGCATGCCCAGCTACCCTGACCCGGCCCCCGCTGCCACTTAAAAGCTTCGGGAGCCGCAGCCGTCGGGTCGCCGCGGCTTTCGCTTTGCCGCCGCTGCTGGGCGGGCGGGAGGGCGGGCTCGGCGGCCGGTTGTCCTCGCGTCCGGGCTTCGGCTGCGCCGAGGGGCGCCCCTCGTCCAGCCCTCCCGGCTCGCGGATTCCCTCCCGAGGCGCCCGCGCCCCCCGGGCTCCCCGCCTCGGCCACCCCGCGGCCCCGATGCCGAGGCATGGATAGAGCGGCGCTGCGCGCGGCGGCGATGGGGGAGAAGAAGGAGGGCCGCGGCGGGGGGGACGCGGCGGCCGCGGACGGGGGCCCCGGGGCCGCAGCCAGCCGGGCGCTGCAGCAGTGCGGCCAGCTCCAGAAGCTCATCGACATCTCCATAGGCAGCCTGCGCGGGCTGCGTACCAAGTGCGCCGTGTCCAACGACCTCACCCAGCAGGAGATCCGGACCCTGGAGGTAAGGGGGCCGCGCGCCCGGGAAGCGGCCCCCAGCACCTCCCTCGCTGCCCCGGTGCACTCCTTCCCAGATGCATCCTGGAGCTCGGGTCGCCCCCTCCTCTCCTTCCTCCACTCGCTGATGGGGCGGCTTGGGGACCCAGGACCAGCTCCTCACCTTGGGCGGGATTTGGGGGGGGGAGGGGCGGAGTGGGAACTGGGGTGGAGGCTGGAGGCGCCCGTGGGCGGGGTGGGCTGCGCGCGGGCATCCCATGCTTCCCCATCTCTGCCCCCACCCCATTTCCATTTTGCGGGGCTGCAGGACTCATTCTCCCACTGAGTCACACGCTGGACTTTTCCCTGTGTGACTGTGACGAGCAGCCGTGGGCCGGGGTGACGAGGCGTGGGGGGTACCCCCCTGAAGTGTGACCACAGGCCCGCCATTCTCTGTCTTCCCCTCACGCCCCGGACTCGGGCTTGTTCCTTCCTTTCCTCTCTTCCAGGATTTTTGTCTGCCGCTTTTCAAAACGTGTTTGCTGAAACTGCATTTTTTACTGTTCAGGCATTTGGTGCTTTCCGTTCGCGCAGCCACAGCATTTCTCTGCTCAAAATATAATTACCCACCGACTCCCCCACTCCTCCTCACACACTGGATTTTGGTTTAGGGAGGATTGTGCTGGGGCATGACGCTTTTGGTGGGAAGATGACACTATTTAAGGGGTTCTGGAGGAGCTGCTCTCCAGTGTAAATAAGAATAAGATCTGCAGGCCCTCCTCCCTCAAATTATAGCCGGGAAGTGCAGTATTAAAAGGATTTGGAAGAACCAGTCAGAAGGGTGGTTGGGTTCTCAGAACGGGGGAGTCTTCACCCTCCCCCATACACAATAGAGGGAAACTAGTGCATTCCCAACTAGCTTTTGTCCAGAGACTCCAAAGGCTGCGAAATGCCAGGCGCCACTTCATTGCTACCCCATCTTGAAGAAGTGCCTTCTTTCCGCCTTGCACTGGTACATCTGGCCTTCTGCAGATCTGGGGATGTTTTGTTTTATTAGAACCTTCATTTCTCAACCTCCCTGCTCCCCACCCCCCCAACCCCTTATTGCTGATTGCCTCTGCCAGTCAGGGATTTGAGCACACCAGAAGCCCGAATCCCTGTTTGATCCAAAATGCTTGGGGGTGACTTCTCTCCTGCAGTTCTGTTTTCTTAAGAGCTACAAAACCAGGGACATTGGAAGCATCTAATCAGTGCTGGCTATTCTTCTTTTTGTTCCGGTTGCTATAGCAGTGATGACCAGGGCTTTGCTTAAAAAACAAACCAACGAACAACCCCCCCCCACCCCCCAGCTGTCCCTTCTTGCATGCACGCTGCTGTTTTCCAAGTGGTGAGAGAAACTGGTTTCTTGAACACAGCCGAATGTGTTTGCCCAGCAAAGTTCAGTTTTTAAACTGATACAATAGGGGGCCTGTGTGGCTTAGTTGTGGGAGGAGGGATCGTCGTCGGGTGGCATGTGTCTGGTTGGATGGCTGTTACTGAGATGAGAGAAAGTTCTCTGTGTGGGCCTCTCTCGGATTGTCCCCCGTGTCTCTCTGAAGAGCTCCTGGTTCACAGAGTAGAAACAGGAGAACCAGTTACTGTTCGTTCCCTGGAAATGGTGCCTTGCCCTCTAGGTACGCTGACTTCCAGGGTTGTTCGTTTTGGCAAAGGTATGGCCTCAGGACACCCCAGAGCATCCAGCTCTTTGGGTCTCTGGGCTGTGTTTATTCAGAGGCCAGAAACCCACGCAAAGGTCCAAAGGGAAAATACCCAGCTCCCTGTTGTCTCTATTGTGATGTGGATTTGGGTCCACCCCACTCCCTGAAAAGGCAGGACCTGTTTTTTGGGGTGGGAATTTAGACCCCAGGAACTGGTTCCCTAGGGCTGCCTCCAGCTAGTTTGAATGAGTCTCTTCACCCTGGAGGCCTGAGCCTCCTCACCTGGACAGGGAGGTTGGAGTGGATCTCTTCAGGCTCTTGTGGCTCTAAATTCAGTGGTTTAGTAAAGGGCCCTCAGTTGGGTTGAATCAAACGTTTGTTCCACATGCCCCTGTTTAAAAATAGTTCTAAAACCCAGATTTACCAAACTGATAAAATAGGGGGGGAAGTAGTCAAAAGAATTCTGCTTATAGGGACAGTGGGCGGACAGCTTTGAGTTCAGGTTTGGGGGTCTGTGTGACCTTGGGCAAGTCCCATGACTTCTGAACCTCAAGCTTTCCCATCTGTAAAATGGGGATGAGACCACAGACACCTGCAGTGTTGCGAGTCTGTAAGTCCGTGTCTTACTTCCAGAAGATTCTGCCTATAAACTTTCCCGAGGGAGGGTTCAGTGGCATTCACGACCCAGGCCACCTTCAGGAGAAAGTACTTCGACAGAGCTGACTCTTGTTTCCTGGAGGTGGGCGACCCAGGCCAGGAGACAGTCCCACCAGCATGTAGTGAGGTAAGCAGGGCAGTGGTGATGTCCGCTCTGGCTTTCTTTTCTGTTCTGCAAGCTCCTCTCCCATCATATTCCAGGCCAGGGCCCCCAGAGACTATGCTTGCAACACGGCATTCCTGGCTTTTGAAGAAAGGGGCTGACCAGAGAGTTTGGCTTACACAACTGTGCCCGACTTCTCCCAGGATGTTAGGAACCCCAGCACACTCTGGCCTTCGTTCACTAAGTGCTTGCTGGCAGAAACAGCACGTGGGATGCCCCTGGAAGTCTCTGACTTGGGCTCAGCTGCTGGTGCCCGAGATTGCAGGTTGTGATGATGCGCGGGGGTCAGCATGTCCAGCTGCCCTGTGAGGACTTTTCTCTGTGTAGTGGTCCTGTTTGGATTCGACAGAGTGGAAGGAGCCAGGGTTTTGATGTTTGCCTCCTACCTGCTAGCCGGTGTGCCAGACCCTTCTCAGTCTCCTAATATTTCCTGGAAATCCACCAACCTTCACCACACAGTTTCTTCTCTCTAGATGGGGAAGGAGGAAGACAAAATCTGAACTCAGGAGTCTGAATTTGTAAACAGAGTTGTGAGGCTACTTCATCCTAGCGGAAGCTGGTGCCCTGGCTCCATCAGACCCTCCTAGGGGGTCTGAGAACTCCACCGAGGCAGGATAGAATGTTCTCGTTCCCAGATATGCTCACATTGGGACACTGGCTGGCCTCACAGCTGGGCCTGGAGTCCCAGGCCAGTTCACTCCCTCATGTACTCATCCCTTGTGGGCCGAGTCTGTGCTGGGCTCTGGGGAGAGAGCAGTGCCTCGTGAAGATTCATGTTTAGTGGCATGGTAACTTTGCCCTTTTCTGCCTACCTGCTAGTACTTTCCAGAAGAGGCCAAGGCATACCAAGTCTCCTACCTTGTGCTCTTATGGAGAGAAATCCCTCCTATACAAGTGGCTTAGAGAAAGGAGTCCCCAAAGGATCTTGCCCTTGGGCCTTTCTGGGAAGGTGACGTTGGGGAGCTGTGGTAGGTACAGTCTGCATTTTGGCCCCTTTGCTGAGGAGTGGCCCGGGAGACAGGAGGCGCCCAGGGGAGGACTTGATGCTACTCAGAAGGTCAGTGGGGTTTGCCTTTCACCCAGCTTGATTGTGGGTGACGCAGAGGTTAGAACCCTGCTGTGTGGAGTACCTGAGCTCTCCCTGTGGTCCCAACCCCCCCCCCAAGAACTGCTGGAAAGGAGAGGGCTGCCCTTTGTCCTTACAGATCAGGCCCTTGGGTTTGCATGAACATCCGTTCACTGGACACACCTTCAGTTATTACTGGTTCGCCTGCTGAGCTAACTGCAGCCACCCTGGCAAGGATTCTGAGATAGGGAGGGTGCTCTCCTGGTCTTTGGGGGACACTTTTGAGTCCACTGGGGAGCCAGGCAGGTGAACCGTTGCTGCGTCCGGTAACGTGGCTTGCTGAGTGCTTAGGGATCAGGAATATGACCGAACGGTTGGCCAGGCTAACGTTCTGTTGTTGTGGGAAATATTCCCAGAGTCTTGGTGTCCCAAATTATGTCCCCGGCAGAACTGTGAGCGAAAGCTCGTTTCCCTTTCCCCACCAGCCATTGCTCCAGAGTGGGGCGTTTCTCTCCTTCTGCTCCATTGCCAGAGTTCCAGCCTCCTGCTGGAGGGATGCAGAGATGGGGCACTGTCCCCTTTGGTGTCTCCTTTTGCCTTGGCAACTTTTTCCCTGGTGGAACTTGCCCCCGGCGTTCCTCAGTGGTGGCCTGGAGAGGATGCTACCATTTTCTGAGGCTGGGGAGGGCTGGGTGGTGCTGGAGGAAGGCCTCCCCCGAGTCTGCAGCCCAAGTTCATGTGAGTGCCAGGAGGCCGCCGGTTTGCTGCCTGGGGACACTAATGGGAAGGCCTCCTTCCCCTCTGGGCTGGCCCCACATTCTGGGGAGCTGCATTCCCCACCACAAGTGTTCTGGACCTGCCTGCTGGCCGTGGTCTGGAGAGGGACTGCAAAGGGCCTGGTCCTCAGTGACGGTGTCTGCAGCTGTGGGGGGATGTAGCAACACCTGCGACCAAGCCTCTTTAAACTGGGCTTTTTAAAAAGTATACGTCTTTTTCAGAACAGACGGATTGGAATCTTCTCTCGCATTCAGTTCGAAGAGAAAGCCATGTAGGCTCCTTTGGGGTTATGGGAATGGCCTGCCCGCACGGTGGGGGCAGACGCGGGACAGCAACAGTCTTGTTCACCTGTTCTGGGTCGAGCACTCTGCTAGGCCCTTGACTTATATTGCCTTAGGAGGGTTTATTCTCATTTTGCAAATGAAGACATCGCGGCTCAGAGGCCTTAGGAGACTGAGCGAGTAGGCGCCCGGACCTGGGTTGCCTGGTCTCCAGAACTACATTCGGAACTTTGCAACTGCTGCTGGCAGCCATGCTGGCCCTTCTGATCAGGATCGTGGCTGCTGAGCCCCGGAAAGTGGCCAGTAACAAAACACGGGCAGCGCAGGGGTGTTGGTTGGGTGGCTCCGTTCCCGAAGACTGGGCCTGCTGGTGGCCACCCCAGGCTG